TATGTCTCGTCGCTCTGGCCGGGACACGGCATCACAGTATGGTAAGGGGCGTAACATTTCCGTCACATGCTTGAGGTATTCGGCCAATCACAACGCACTGGATAGCTGGCCAATCAGAGCACACCTCGCTTTTCAGACCGATGAGCTTTGTAAAAATCGACGTGTTTCAGAAAGGCGGGGCATAGAGGAGAAACAATAATGTACATTGTGAAAAATAGTGTTTTTTTAACCTTAAACCGCATAAACGCATTGCATTACACCAAATACACAACATAATGTTCTTTTTAGCAACATCATATGACCCCTTTAAGCGTTCTTGGTCATATATGCATCATTCTTACTAGATATGAATTTAGTTTTACTCAAAATTCTAAATAAAATCAGCATGAAAAACCTGTTTTACTGACGTATTGTGGCGTAATTCCGAGTAAAAATCCCTTTGGGATTTGATTGCATCATGAAATATGATGCTTGGAGGGAACGGTTGAAATAAGTGGTTGGAAGTAAAAGGGCTTGGAGTTGTTAATAATTTTACCCAAATATTATTCATCTCCCAGTGAACTAAGTGCACTTTATTTACTTGTTCTCTGAAATTTTGTCTGCTGGTCCCACAACGATGATGTCTGAGGGAACCCGGAACATTCTGGAGGTCATGAAAGCCCGCGGAATCCGCAAAGTTATTGCATGCATGTCAGGTATCGATGTCTGAGCCGTATTTCGACTTAATTAGCATGCAAGTGCATACTGAAATATGAAGAAACTGCTGTATCTCTCTCTTACTTTGCACAGTGTTCCTCCTGTGGGATCTTGCCAAAGTTCCTCCTCGCCTGGTGCCGGTCACTGAAGATCATGACCGAATGTACACTGTCCTGAAACAGTCAGGATTGGACTATGTAGCTGTCATGCCTCCGCATATTGCTGGTAATGAGTACTAAAAGATCTGCATCCCTAAAATTTTCATTTAATTATATTTAAGTCTGTTTTGGTTCTTTTTTTTATGTTTAAGAAAATATGTCATTGTTGTCTTTTTAGGTGACAAACCTCTGACAGAAAAATACACTGTGACTGAGAACATGTTAAAAGGAAGAGTCATCTCCAAATATGACCTGGGCCATTTCTTTGTCAAGTGCCTTTCCACTTCTGAATGGGATGGAAAGACGGTTGGAGTTTGTGGAGAATATAGTTAATGTACTCAGAGGCACTTAGTAATTGTTGGTTTATTTAGTACTGACCAAAATGACTTTATTTTTGCAGCATCTTTATTTTTTGTTACTCACGCCATTGTAGAAGTGCTTTACTCCCAATCAGCCATGATAAATTTTGCAACCAAATGTGTCAAATAACAGAGAAACTTTTTTAAAGTTACGGATTGCTCCTATAAAATGCTTTTATTGTGTTTTTTTTTTATAAACACATAAACTGACCAGCAATAAATGTATCTATAGTTAATCTTAGAAAGTTTGTTCTTATTGAAAAAAGGATTGTTGGATTGTAGAACTCCTCGCTGTTTTGCCTTAAGAATCATTGAATGAAAAACAATGTAATTTGCCTAATAATGTAATCATTTTATTTTCTGTTTTTAAATAAAGATGTTAGTTTACAAAGTTCTTGTTTCTCGTTTACGTTGGTAGTATATTATGTGGTGTAAAACCTATGTTGTACCCGCTTTAACTATCCTTTTTAGATACAAGAACTAGTAGGTATACTTATGCATGTACAGAGGTGAATGGACTAAAATGCTGTAACTGCGGTGGTCCTCATAGTGCAGCATATGGGGGATGTGAGGTACAAATTAAAGCAAGAGAAGTTCAAAAATATAAGGCGGAGAATAGTCACTTATGCTGAAGCAGTGAAGGTCTGTGGAAGTAAGGAGGACAGGAGGGAAGAGGTAAGGGACCAAATTACACAAGATTCAAGGAACATCGAAAAGGGGAAAACAAAGGAGCCTGAATGTAAACATCAGTGTGCTATAAAAGAAAATGCACTAATAATGACAAAAGAGAACTTTCTAGCCTTTATTGTAAAGGTAATTAATGTCACTGCTATGCTGCCAAGTAGATCAGCCAAGATAAAAACAATTCTAGAAGCTGCAACAGAGTTTCTAGGGATCTCTGGGATTTCAGTAAACATGATTCATGAGATTCTTACTCGATCAGCAACAGTAGAAGCTTCCCAGGTTTCTGAGTAGCTTAATGGTGATAAGCGTAATACAATGGAATGCAAGGAGCCTCGTAGCAAATGGTCAAGAATTCAAAAAATTTGTATTAGATTTAGAATATATGCCAAATGTTATTTGTGTACAAGAGTCATGGCTCAAGCCAAATTTGCAGTTTGTATTACCAGGATATAAGTCTATTCGGAAGGATAGAGTGGGGAAACAAGGGGGAGGGGTTGTAACATTTATAAAAGAAGGAACTATATATAGGGAATTAAATGAGGTTAAGGATATTGAATGTGTTGTGGTTGAAGTATATTTTAGAGAAGAATCAATTGTGGTATATAATTTTTATAACCCATGTAAGAAGATTTCAATAAATTTGTTTGAAAATATTGAAAAAAGAAATAAGGAATTATGGTGTGGTGATTTTAATGCTCATAATTGGTTATGGGGGAGTAAAAATATAGATCTCAATGGGGAAGTAATAGAACAATTTATGGATGATAGAGGATTAGTATGCTTAAACACAGAGAAGGTACTAGGTTTAATATAACAGAGAATACGGTATCAAGTATAGATTTAACATTAATATCAAATGGAATGGCTGAAATATGTGAATGGAAAGTAAGCAGTGAGAATACAGTTGGAAGTGATCATTTTCCAATTGTATGTAAAATAAATGTAAATAGTAGTAATACAGGGTGTTTTCTGCAAAGAAAATGGATGTATGAGAAAGCAGATTGGAATTAATTTAGCAAGTATTGTGAAACATATAAGGATATAGTAGTAGAAGATTCAGTAGAAACATTTTGCAACTCTATTACGAATTTAATAATGGAAGCTGCAACAAAATATATACCACAAAGAAATGCAGGACAGAAAAATAAAAATATTCCATGGTGGAAAGAAGAGTGCAGTAAAGCAAATGGTTGCTATCATAATAGGACTAACATGGGTAGAGGAAGTAAGACCAGACAGAGTAGTGGTATGCTCTGACTCTGCTTCTGTTTTAACATCATTGATTACTCGGCAATCTTCTAGAGAAGATTTGATGTGTGAAATATTTACATTATTATGGCGTATACAAAGAAAAGGAGTGGTAGTTGGATTCTGCTGGGTGCCAGCACATGTAGGAGTAGCTGGTAATGAATCTGCTGATGAATTAGCAAAAAATGCTTTAAAAAGAGAAGTAATAGATTTTAATGTTCCTTTAAGTAAATGTGAAATTAAAACTATCATTAAGGAAAATATTATTAAAGAATGGCAGGACATATGGAATACAGGTAATAAGGGAAGGCATTTATATAATATTAAAAAAATGGTTAATACTAAAAGAAGTGTAAGTGGTAGAAATAGAAAAGAAGAGGTTATTATAACTAGGATGAGACTTGGACACTCGGGATTGAACGCTTCACTGTTCATAACTGGAATACATGAGACTGGTCTATGTGGGAATTGTGGGGAGAAAGAAACAGTGGAGCATGTAATATATAATTGTACAAGGTATGATGAAGAAAGAAAGGAATTAATATCATATTTAAACAAAAAAGGTAAGGTAAATAAGGATTTGGAATACTTATTAGGATATGAGTTTAACAGAGATAGAGAAGGATACAGGATATTAATAAAATACATATATACTACTGGGTTAAGTGAAAGGATTTAAATATAGAATGCGGATGCTCTATTCTATTCTGGATCTTTAGGGGACCACGGATTTAGTCTGGAGGAGCTGAACACGCAGCGCCAGGTGGAGCCTGGGGAGAAGGAATGGGATGGAGCATCGAATAATTATTTAAGTAGGAATATTTGTGTATATACGTGTGTAAGAACAGGAAAAGCAAAAACAAGGAATAAATTGATAAATAAACCATGACTGCATAACAGCAAAAGTAGGTGGCGATATGCACACAGGATGTAACACGCCAAAAAATGGAAGAAGAAGAAGAAGGTACTTATGCAACTACAATACCCGGCGTTCATTTCGCGCGTGACGTCAGAACTGATTGAATCACTGGCGGGATAAAAAATTCCAGCAAACGCTTCCAGTCGCCCGACGCTTATATTATTTATAGAGGCCGAATGAATACATAAACCTACAAGAGTTACGTTGATTTTGGAGTTAGTTTACATACTTTACAGGTGAGTAAAACAAGTCATCCAGAAAGTAATAGTGGGTAGTTAACATGCTAGGCTAGCGCACTGATTTCTGCTCACAAACTTCTGGTTACATTGACTACGTGATTTTGTGTCGATTTATAATGCTAGTTTGGCAGTCAGTTGCTGTTCTAGAATGCTGATATAGTAAATATGCCTAGTTTAATACTAATTCATGACTTTATATAAAAAATAAGTATTAAAATCGGTAGTTGTCGCAATACATACAGGCCCATGTCGTCTTCGAAATAGACACGAATTAATGTTTCGAAATATTAAACATGATACATTCCGTCCGACACATCTAAAACATTTCCTCAAAATCTGATCCCAACTCATTTAATGAATGGCTTTCCTCTTCTCAATTTTGTAATTTGATCTGAATATCAACATATGAGATTTAGTCAGTCAAACAGTTTTGAAAAAATTGATTTGTAATGCTGAATATCTTATTTATGTTTTTAATATGTTGAATATCGTGTTTTGTGTCTGTTCATTAATAAGGGATTTGTGGACACGTTAATGTTTTTAGATTTGTGTAGTAAAAACATCTTTAAAAGTCAAAAGCTAAAATTAGATCCTTGGGGTGCTTTTTTATTTATTGTATTATAATTTTTTATCATTTGATATTTATTGTACTGTATTGTACTTCATTCAAGGAGTTGTACATTTCAGACATCTAAACTGTTCTTTAAAACCTTTAGGTTAAATGAGAGCAATCATTTGATTTGCATTCATAGTATTTTTGTTGTGACATTCTATTAAAATATGGAAAATTACGGTAAATGTTTATATATGCCTGTATAAAAGTCATTGATGTCTTTGACTGGATTTTTGCTTTGTCCTCGGGTATTCTATTATTAAGTCATTAGTACATTATTAAAAAAATGTAATTTCAGTAGTTGATTTCGTATTTTATTTGAATTATATAAAAAATAATTTGTCTGTAAAGCTTTAGCAAAAAGTGTGGTAAGATGGCCTTTTTAATCATTTTACACCATTCTTGACCTACTGTGTGAAGTGTGTTTTGCATTGGATGTACCAAAACATTTCCTCATAAGAGCAGTCTTAAACTCAAACTCGCTGTTGTTTTGCAGTGTGAGAAATGGTGGCCAAGGGACAGAAGCGCAAACTCCACAGGGAGGACGAGGGAGGAGGATCTGCGTGGGAAAGTCAGCTGCAGTCCGTGTTGGACATCTCCATGGATAAGTTCCACCGTGACCAGGCTCTCGTGGAGCCCTGCTTATTACGGTCAGTTCTGATCAACAACACACTGCGGCAGGTTCAGTCTGAGGTCCGGGCGCAGGTCGAATCACTGTCCGCTGTAAAAATTCCCACAAAATCAAAACCAGAGGCCGACTTCCCCCGATTGTCTCCTCCAGCAGAGCATAATACACCTCTGTTCTCGCTGAATGCTGAAAATATGGATGACGATTTCATGGCCTGGACTTCAGAGGAGGATTTCTCTTTATCTTCAGCCATTTCTTCCATTCTCAAAGATCTAGATACAGCCATCGATGCCGGTCAAGGGCCTTGTGCATCTCAACGGGCTCCGCTCAGCTCTGTAGAGAATTTAACACCGTATCCTCTGAGGACTGAAAGAACGTCTGACTTGGCATCATCCGTCAAAACGGAGCTGATGTGTCCAGGTTGTCCTCAGGATGTAGCTCTAGACAAACTTCTCCTAGACATCGACACGGCTGTGTTTGAACCGGAGGTGAACCTTCTGCAAGGTTTCTCGGTCACAGCCGACGATCTAGTGAAGTATCTACCATCCCTGTCCAAATCCCCATCAGCGTCGTCTTCCTCATCTTTAGTCTCTCATGCTCAGGCCACATGGGAAATCCAGGAGATAGAGCATGTTATGGACATCCTGATGCGAACGTACCCGCAAAGCTGATTTTGATGATATCATGTTCCTGATGTTGAGGTTATAAACCGTTTTTATAGAGGTGTACTGAAGAAATTTCCACTGAATAGCATGAGGGATTGAATGAGACTAACTGATAATGATTTGCTACCTCATGTTTACTAGCTTCTCGTGTTCAAAGTAGTTGATCTCAATGTCAGCTGATGGTTAGCAGCAGTTTTTGTCATCTTGCACATCTCTTGTTCTGTTTAAAGAAATGATCTTGCGTGCAGATTCATTCAAAGTGTCATTTAACAAAGTTCAGTGATTGTTATACACAATTGTTTTGAAGTGACTCCTTACAACTGTGCCATTTCTGTTTTTTATTACTTTATGAAATGATGTTTTTCTTTAAAATATGCACTTTCCGTTGAGTCAAATCCTTAAATTTAATATGGATCCTTACATAGTTTGCAGGTTACCATTAGGAGTGTCCTTTTCATAGACAAAAGTCATTAAAATATGAGATTGTGTATAGTGTTGGTTTAAAGATATTATAATGTGCAGTAAATGTTACTTGAGCATTATGAATATACTGATGCTGTTTCAGCAGATGAACATGTAGATGCCTATGCAAAATATTTACTATGTCAGTATGAAATTATAATGTGAATATTAATCACTCTTTGTATTCTATTGTTATACTTTAAATAAAGTGGTACTTGGTGACATCCAGTGGCCAAATGAGGAATTATATTTAAGAAACAGAAAGTTCCTATACTAGAACATGTCAAATTGCTGTTTGGACAGAATGCCATGCAGATGACTTTCTAAGTTAATATCTAATATGTAAATGGAAATAATAACATGTATGAAAGGTATAAGAAATGTTATGGATGTTATAAATGTTATTTTTTTCTTTCAGACCAGCATGAAAATCGACCGATGTTTTAACGCAGAGCAGAGTTGTGTAAATGTGAATCTGTGTGTGCGCATATATATGTGTATATATATATGTGTATATATGTATGTGTGTATATATATGTGTGTGTGTATATATATATATATATATATATATATATATATATATATATATATATATATATATATATATATATATATATATATATATATATATATATATATATATATATATATATATATATATATATATATATATATATATATATATATATATATATATATATATATATATATATATATATATATATATATATATATATATATATATATATATATATATATATATATATATATATATATATATATATATATATATATATATATATATATATATATATATATATATATATAT